TGCTGCTACAGTAATCACCTGACTGGAACTTCATCACAATGTATCACAGCATGGGTTGCAAAATATTTGAATAGTCCGGACAGACGTCAAGCAAGCATAAAAGTGAAGTTTACAATGTAGGGCATGAAGCCGTTAATCTATTCTGATTGATCGATTTCAACGCGGTAGGTGCTTAGCCAATGTCCGTCAACTGTGATTCGGAGAACCTGTCAGGATACTGTGGTATTCACTCGGTAGGGAGTCGTTACCTTAGGGGGCGTTTGAAAAATACCGTCAGTGATATGAAATTTGCTTGCATTCACCAAAAAAGGAAAACGAACTGCCATCCCCAAAACTGATGAAATAATATCTTTAACAATGCGGATATGCTTTAGTAAGCCCTCGTGTAATTAGCCCACGAAGCGATGGATCAGAAATCTCCACTGCAATGAATCGATGGGTTATAGGAAACACTAGATTCAACTTTCGTTGTTTTAGCAAATAGGGGGAGGGGGAGATCGATCTTATATGTGCAAGAGTGTTAACCGTGGTACTTTCTAGCTGAACCATCGAGATTGAGTGTTCCAGATTCCAAGTTTTATAGATGCCGGAGAACCAGCGCTTAACTAGCGTCGCAAACTCGTTAAAGTGTTTCCGATTGGTGTGCTTAGTCTGCCAACAATGCTGCCCATGTATCTAGCTGGAAAGAATCGTTGGTAGGTTTGATGTTTTAGATATGAGATATTTGTGCACTACATGATCTATTTTCCCTAGAGGGCAGATTAGGCGCATTCAAACGATCCTAGCTATTGCGTGAAATCGCGAACCATCCCTTCTTTGAAACCACATTGCAAAGATGACACATGGGGTCCAGGCTTCAGTCAGAATTGCCATAATCAAAAAACAACTTCTTAACAATGGTGTCTATTGAGTGGATTGTTTGAGTCCCACAAGGATCGCATGAGTGTAGTTTCTGACCGGTGGTGCGTCATTATAAAGCTCAACTTTATGTTTGACTTGAGACAACGTCTGCCCAGCTTGCAGAGTACTAGATAACAACCGAGAAGTGGTGTGTTCACTCCTCTGTACCAGACTTCGCATTTCTGTTTTCGCCGCGTGTCTTTGGGTTCACACGCAAGCCTTTTCCGATTTCCGTCTCTTTTACATTAATTAACTATGACCATATATGACAAATAGCAAAAAGAAAATAGCCAGACATCAAACCAAGTGCCTATACTATGAAAACATTCAAAGGTGCCAATCAGGAGACATGAAGTGACGGGAGTCGCAAAACCATGGGCATAAAAAAACTCAGTCAGCTAATCCAGTAAAAAGGTCACACATTCTGTGCTCCTCTGCTTGACGGCAGACAGCAACGCAAGTAGATTCGGAGTACCCGTCTACTGACAGCTTATGGCATAGCGTACAGAAGAACAAATGATACAAAGCAGCAGATCAAAACCAGTTTTACTGACCCCCAGAACAGAAAACCTCTTATAAAAACAACCAGTCAACCTAAACGTCAAACGATGTGTTAGTTTCGACTAACACTGAAACATCGGAGAGAAAGGTAAACCTCCGACGCTCAAGTGGATTTTTTCTTGAACTGTCACAACTTGTGATTGTGAAGGCCCGGCAGCGTAAAAGCTTAGTGAGAAATAAGTAAAAGGCTTACTCTTTCGGCTGCAGTCCGAGGGCAATTACAGGCAAATCAACAATCTCAGTGAACAGAAAGCTCGTGTTAGATTTCAGGATAAGCATCAGAAACTAAAAATACCGTCCAAAAAGTCCAAGCAATATGCAAGGTTGTACGGTTCTCCACTGAAATAAGTAACAATGTATCAAGTGTTCGTTTAGGAACCGTTGACTTCCTCTGACGTTAAAATTCCGAGGAGAAAGCGGGCCGATTATTCTTCTCTGGCCAATATGACCAGATACATTGCATTTCCAGAACTCAATGAGATATTCGAATAAACTGAAAGGAAGTAAAGAGCACAGATGGTTTATGTATAGATTTTATCCAAACTCTCAGAAAGCCGAGCTCGAGTCATTTTAACAAAAGTGGGGATTTCTGTGCGCGACATTTGCATTTTTGGGTGAAAAGCCATTTCTGTGGCACTAATATAACCCTGTCTATACAAGTTAACAAAACCGATCCTTCCGCTTATAATGAGAAGCGTTCGGACCCGATCAAATTCCACACACAGGAATTCTAGCCTGGTCAAATTTATTAGGATAGAACTCCGGCAAATCAGAAGTGAGATGACCGGTTTTGAAGGCCTCACCTCAGCTTGGATGAAAATTTCAAATTTTAAGGCAACGAACGTGGACTCGGGACCAGAACAAGGCAAAAAAACTGCACTACAGCTTCTGAAGACAGTCAAGTTGTTTGATCCTGCAAACCTAGCACGCCAGTGCCTAAACACTACCAGAACGGTAACGGCCGCTTGGGGTACTGAATATAATTAGATTACCGTTAAGTTCCAGAGCAACATGAACGTGTACAGTGTACTGCCAGTGGCTACACAAAGTGTTTGTTGTGCATGGTGCTCTCGGTGGGTTCAGAGTTTTACTTTTTAAGTTCATTGGGATTTCCTTTGTGACTGTCGTGCATTGTTCTCCTAAGTGTTGGCTTGTTCTATCAAAGTACTCGAGCCAATCTATGTCTGGCAAAGTAGCTTCTGCAGTAAAGTGACAATTTACTCTGAGGGTCCCTTTAATCGCTCTTAGCCTATACCTTGCCAGAAAAGAATCAGTCGTGTATGTCTCATAGGTGTCAAAATAGAGCAACCTATCCTATCAGAGCACCTTTTTAGGAATCAAGGAGGGAACTCTGAGAGACACTCTCCAGGGATAACAGACCGATCGATGAGTTTGGACTGCCTTAGGACGAACGAACTCATATACCACCGAAATTCAGGAGACGATTTTACTTTATTCCACACTCCCTCGTCTTCTGACAGTACGCCAGTACATATCTCGAACCGTGTGCAGCTCGGATGCGTGGACATCTAAAGGTTGCTGGATCGGGCACTATGAGCAATTCACGATCCAATTCAGGACAGATTACAAGGAATATCAGAGAAGCCGTGTACCACAACGCGCAAACCATGCAAATGACGAGGATAAGATCTGGGGTGCGTGTTTAAAAGTGGAGTAGTTACAGTGCCATGTTTACCAAGTATGATGTTCTCGGGAATAGTTTAGTGGTTTTGGCATTCGGGTTCTGTAGCACAGTTATCGACAGCTGGACGTTACACGAGTTTTACATTCACACTAGGTGATGCAGTGGGTGAATAACTTAGCAGTCAATACTCCCATAGCCACTACTCACCACTGTTGCACAATCGGACTAGAAGGTAGTTATATTATTATTCTGTGGGCCACATGCCTGACCAATTACCCTTACCACACTACTAGCTCACAGAAGACTTGGTAGAGACCAAACACTACAGAACACGAGTTTCGATACTATACGCACAAGTGATACGCAAGAGAGGTCTAGCAACGCCGCTGACAAGAGGCGAAGTTGGGCTGCGTTACGGGTTCAGCTTAAATCGGCAGTAGCGGAAGCCAACAGGTTTCTGGAGGCATTGGGACGAACGCACAAGCAATCAGATAGCCCGCTGATGATCAAACGGACCAAGGCTGACACTATTCACCACGGTTTGCCTGTACTCGATTCCCTTTATAGGCATATCAAAACAGAATCATTTTGCTATGCCATTCTTTTCGTCGCCAGTCAATCTAAGCCTCACAATATCACTGTTTTTGTGCGTCAGCGAATCAACAGATGTTATAGGGAATATGGAAGCCAACAATGGCCAGGGTTTCAGTGGGACACAAAGAACACTTGAATGTGAAAAGATAGTTTTTGAACTTCAAAACTCAAGACAAAAGGAATGAACCGCCAGAAAACGAAAAGAACACTGAGTTTTTCCATCGACATGTGGCCTCATTAACCAAAGCAAGCTCAATCTTCTCTATCCTTCCTAGCTGCACTGTTTTAGAGTAATGCGTAGATTAAAATCCTCCAGAAGAGGATGCTACTAGGCAATCTGTGATGGGAGGTGGGCTGGACCATCCCATCGATCAATATTTATGTGGCTGCTGAGACCTATACTTAAATTAACTGCGTGATTGGCAGTGACGAATTCAAATATTTTCAATACTGTATCCAGCACCCTTGGATGAAACGCTTCGCATTGCTGTTTGATACAAACAGAAGGCTCTACATTGTTGTCAGTATCTTCACACCTTCAAGCATGTTACAAGTGTTGGCTGTCCCCCATTCTTGAGCACATTCTGGGTACTTCCGATTCTGATATTCCTTTTTATTACCACAGACAGCATAGTAGCGATTGATACTCATCATTCGGGGCATTGTCCCTAAACATAAATCACGATGAAAGTAAATCACTCTGAAAATAATCAACGCCCCCCCTAGAGACCGTGGGGTCACTTCATGAACCAATTTCCTTTTGTGTATCAGTATGCATATCACTGTGTAAACTTTTGACAAAGCGTTACAGTATCACTCGACTGTAGCACAGCGTCAGTGTCGAGGGTCAAAGGGTTAGTGTAATTCACTTGCTTTTATGATTACCGTCTGATGATTACCAACTAGGATGAAGGGAATCATTCGTCTGGGCTTATCAGATTCCGAATACATCTCCACCCCAAATTTTCTATGTTCTCTTAAAAAGGGTTTCGGGCGTCCAGTATAATTGGTAGAGCCACATTAATTTCAACAACACACATGTAGCTTTCTTTTGTAAAGAGCATGAGAAGGCTACATGGGATCCACTCAGTTTCGTGTTGCAGGGACCCATTNCGGCCAATAACAGAAGGGTCGAAGTTGCAGCAAATGGCGGTACGAAATCAAGGATACGACAATACAGTAGAGGTAATAACAGGTAAAGCTCATTTGTTCCTTTGGGAACTGCGTTAAGAAGGTTAGCGCCATGGAAAACCAAAACAGGTGATAGCGTCGGGTGTTAGGCAGATTAAAAATAAATTACCTGGGCATAGTGTGGTACTGCAGCCGACTGGATCGGAATGACTGGGTGGTGATAGCGTTTTTCGCCAGGTCCAGGTGTACGCGGGGCAGCTCGCTCACAAGAATATGTGTCCATCCATCGATTTCCAAATCCAAACGGTCTCTGCGACATCCTTTTCAGAGAACTAATATTCCGAAAGTCCCAACTACGGCGAGGTTAAGGTGGAAGCAGCGAAATATGCCGATCAAATCGACGGCAATCAGACAGTTTTCAAGGTCCAATCAACAGCTTACCTAAATTTCATTGGTCAGTCGGACCACACAGCACCAATCGATAGCATTCCGTCTAGCGTGCAGCACAGCGCACACCATTTAGGCAAAGTGCGCACATACGTGCCAACGCAGGCGCGCGTTTGGTTGACGGAACATACAACCAACATACCACGCGTGTGTGAGTCAAGACTATATAGCACACGTGACTTGTTCGTGTTAATTTTATCTCCAGCACCTATTATCAAGTGAACGAATTTTCAAGTCAGCCTTCTACCAAGCATGCATAACACACATTCGCGAAATGCACTCATTTGTACGCCAGTTTGACTTTAGCGGGTGGCTCAACGGAATACCAGTTGAATCTCTCGCTCATGAAATTCTTCAACTGAATGTGCTGCACAAAGGCCGCCTTCCTACAGATTTGCACAGGTCTCCGTCCGATCACTTTAATGTCATTTTTTCCAAGCACCGTTGCAAGTAAGTGAATGGGACAAGGATACATTTCTGTGCTATTCCATATCCTTCGCATGTCCTTGGGAGGCGCACACTGGAAGAACTAATAGTGGCGAAAAAATTTCCTCCTTAAACTTCTGTTTTCAGACTGGTCTACAACGATATTTTCGGGTGTGTGTGCCTATGTATGCGTGTGCCTACGTGCGTGTGTGTGATTCACACCCCCCAAGCGAGAAATCTCCTAGGAGTGAAAGTGATAATATTTACAAACTACACTTATTTGCATAGCAGCTTGGTTTTTGTGAGGGTTCAAGTCAATCTAGCTGAATCTCTCGTTTATGGTCCTCCTTGAATTAAGGGTTTCCACTAAGCTTGTGGATAGTATGCTCCGCCTCGATAAAAATAACAATACTTGTTTCAGCAGTAAAACAAGTCAATGATAGCCATCACCAACATAAAATCCAACATAACCGTCTGACTGCTCGGGGTTAGAGTTATTCAAACGATACCGACTTGAGGCCTGGGTAGTCAAGCCAATCTAGGTAGGATTATTTATTTGATTTGGCAAGCCGCGGTCCCGACTGAAAGGTTGCACTTAGGACCATGTATCAGCAAAATCTCGGCTGCATTTCGTGATAATGCACTAGTGTTGATGGTAATGTATGCTTCCAATAACAAACAAAGAGCCAATTTAGCTCATGACATTCACGACATCTACAGTGACTAAATCACTGGGATAGTAGTTGTATAGGAATATCACACGAATGTCTGTTCTCACCTTACATCGCCGTGGAAGAATCATCATCCACCCAAAGGAGAGAAAACAGGAACATGGATAACGGGAGTCGTGAATAAGGTCGAAAGGTTTTGATATAACTTTATCACAGAATGAGCGGTTGCGGATGCGTGAGATGTTGAGAGAAAAAATCGAACATTTGTCTTCTCAACAGTCTGAACGACAATGCACTGAAGCTAAAAAATAATCCAACTCTTTTTTGATATTCCGATTCAATCGCCTTATACCTGAATCCCGGTAGGACAAGGTCAGCGTGACCGTCTCAATTCGCGCAATCATGTACTTCACTTGTACAAAATTGGAAGCTTTAGTGAAACAAAACTAGTTTTTAGTTCTACGGTCTACATGGGAGTAAAAACGATCAACTGGAATGTCACATCTGACAGATTTTGAGCAGTGACCCTGGTTGAGTGGCTAATGTGGTCCCCTGTAAATTCACAAGGCTCAAGAAAATCCATACGTACTTCAGCAAGTAGATGACCGGCACAATGACCGTGACTACCTCCACAAAATGTTTGTTCGTTTAAACCCATGTCGCATTCTCGCTACCCACACACAGTGTTCCATTCTCGAATCTTCCCCCAGGGTTCATGAAATGTGCGCTGATAAATCACGATAAGCATACAAAGAATTAGATTTCTGGAATTCTCATTAGATTTTGACTTAGAATTTCACTAAGAAATATACCGAGACCTTTTTTGTGCCATTCTTTCTTATATCTGTTGGTCTAATATGCATATTCTTACCTATAGGGGTAAATTTTCAATCCCATGAACTTTCGAGTTCCAATACAGATATGGAAGTCTAACGCTGTAATTCAGAAAGCCAGAAAATCATTGTGTTTTGGATACAGATTTGTTCATCTTTCATCAGTTTGAATAAAAATTGAGCGTAAGCTTAGGAAAAGAGACCCCTCTGGAACATATACCTGAAATAAGCTCTTTACCTAGAAAATCTGAGCCTAGTCCCCTTGAAAGCTAGTCTCTTTCACGTTGCAGAGTTGTGTTATTTAGGGGCCAACTTAAATTTTTTCTCATCGAGGATCTCTCCTTGATCAGGAGAAGACTCTGTATGATCATCTACCAGATTAATTAAATAGGGCATAGTTAACGGTGCTAACAGAGTCAACGTTTGGTGCAACAGGCATTTATTAACGATTTTCTTCTAATCTCTGATTTGAGAACTCCAAGTCACTGATCACAATCTAAACATATACCCCCGAGAACATTTAGTCAACATGGATCAACTTACCACAGGTTTGTTCCTTCTGTAAGCGTTGTCCAAATTGCAGAATGAAGTGTATTATCGTATACTTACATGACGTCGGTTGTTTTAATTAGACGGTTTATCTGTTTAACGTCAGAGCATCACCTACTCAGCGCTGTTTCTTCAAAATGTCTACACTCTTTAGTGAGGACACTGCTTTCCCTCAAAATCTGTTCCTCTGGGACCGTTCACGGATTTACTGGAACATGTCAATAGCACCGACTGTATAGATAATCACCCACTCACAAACCATGCCTGTCAGTGACGTTCCGGTTGGTTTACTTGGTTAGAATACCCCCTTCATCGTCTTCGGCCTCGTGAACATGTTTGCATTTTCTTCCGCAAAATTGGTTGAGGTTCTGGATATCAGGTTCTCTAACCTAGCTTGCTGCAGGCTGGCGGTGAAGCATAACTGATGTGTGGTATTGTGAGAGATGCAGACTGTTCCCCACAACCGCTTAATTCGATGACGGTGTACAGCACAAGAAATTTACTTTCATTAAATGCAGCCAATAGAGAAGTTTTACTGTGACACCCACTGTAGGAATGTTTTGACGTCACTGTTCCATTTCCGGAAGGTACACGAGACCGTGGCCCGCATTTGGTTACGCAAATCTTGACGGAGCAGAGGCCGTACCAAACTTGGTCCGATGTCCACTTGTCCCATGTGCGTAGCCAGATCACAGTTGTCATGGACGAGTTTGTTTTTCTAGCTGGTTGGTCGTTTTAACTACCATTTTCTCAAACGTTTGGTGCCTGGAATGAATGCTCCCCTAATTTTATCAAGAGCAAAAAATCACGAACAATAATACTCTTTGGATCTTGTTATCAGGCAAACATGTATTAGGCGGTTAAAATAATTTCACTGGTCAAATGGGTAGCGTCACTTTGGTGACCAAAATGATCGGGAAACAACACAGACAGCTATCAGGTGGAATAATACAGTATCACCTATTTGGACTGATAATGGTGGGCGGGTCTGGTAGCGTGTCTCACATAAACCAGACAAGTTATAATTCCGTTAGTATCGCTTCTGACATCTTAGTACTGGGTCGCTAACCTTATTGTGACTGTTTCTGCTGCCACGAGACAACGCCTCTTCTTCAGCAACCTACGGCACAATTCGTAGATAGCTTGAAACGACTTCCTTAATGTTATCGAATTTTTGACCAGATTAGTGTGTCTACCGTTATTTTGACATGAGAGATGTTCACGCATTGTTTTCTTGCTAAGCTGCTGTTTCGTATACCTAAAATTTTCAACTTTACCAAAAAGGGTCAAAGATGTACACATCCATACTCCCTCCTATTGTGGACAAAAATCTTGTCCCTCTTGAGGTTGAAATCAAGCGGAGATATTGTAGTGAAACAGTCACAGCGCTGCTGCGGGGAAGGTTCTTCAGATAGACTTGTTGTTTTTCAAGAGGTCATATTTATATGGTAGCCCCAAATACTGTGACATCTTAAAGACGTTCATTACAGTTGGTCTGGAGCAGCGTTCTTGGTAACGAAACTACATGGACAGTTTTTTTTAAATTTCAGCTTGCTTATGGAGATCGCAGAATGCATGGATGCTCTTGGAAAGGTACACTGCAAGATAAGGATCTCTGCGATCTCATTCAAATTCTCCTTCGAAAAGAAGATGAGGAGAGCACCACAGAACTTTGAAAATGGTGGTACATTCATTACTGGTGAGCACCGCGTTGATTCGTTCTGTGTTCTTTTCTTTGAAGGCGGTTACTTTTTCAGCGTCCTTGTTCGTCCCCAGCACAGTCATTATCCCTTTGTTCGGAAGATTCTCGGCAACAGAACCGGTTGGCTAACAGCCTTCAGAGGTGATCTGTTTTGTTTCTTTCCTCTTACCGCTCTGATGAGAATACAGTACAAATTCAGACGGAACAGTCTACCAAAATCATGCGTCAAGATAAAAAGCTGCTTTCTTCTGATTGCGTCACCACCAGGGTTGCGCGTTTACATTGCACGAAGTTTCCCGCACACTTTTGTCTGGTTATAATATCTATATGTATGATGTAGTTTTGTCGAGATGACTAGGTGCCCCACTGGCTTTCTTCACTGTTTTGTCTTCTTGTGTATGCAAAAAGCGACAAAACTATTTGACTTCATGGTTGTGTAAACATTGTTTAACTAATTTAAGCCCAAGAGTGTCAAAAAATTGCAGGCAATTAACGCGTCTGATGTCTGATGCGTTTTTGGTACCAACGGCATCCCATGTCGAACAAAACCCAGACAAAAAGGCAACGAATGACAGAGATGCACAGTATTTTCGGCCTATGAACCCTAGTGGTTGGCCAAACAATGAACGAATGCTCAATTTGAAGTGTACTGAGGATCGAGATCATCAAGCCGTTGAGAAAAGCGTCTCCGTATCCATAAGCCTTCCTAGATCTCAACAGCCACCTGGATATCCCCAACTGGTATTGTCTAAATTATCGTGACGGCTACGGTTTATACAAACAAGCAACCCAGCGTAATCAGTTTGGTAGAAATGCATCAAAAGGTGCTGAGTGGACCGGTTTCTTTTTGGGGGAGAACGAGATACCTATCCTAGTGCCTGTTCTGAATACAAACACAGGGGAAAAAGATTGGCAGACAAACACACAGAGGCCTTTTGAGATCCATCAGCTGATCTAAGCGCAATTGCGTTGAGATGAAATCCAGAATTAGTTCTTTTGCACTTCGTCCATCAGGTCCTCCAGATGTAAGCGTGAATCCACACTTCTTCCGAGGTAAATTATTACAACACCTATTTCTGGAGAATACCGATTACCCCGCCATTTAGAAGGGGACGGATAGCCAAGCGATAAACCAGTTGTCACCGGTACTGTCATTTCGTAGTATGACGGTAGAGTTAGGTGGGTTTTGAACAAAATCAGTATACAAATGACCGACAAGTTCAGTTCTACGCAGGAATGTGAGTCCGCCAGTTGCAGTTCCAGGTGTCGGACTCACATTCCTGCGTAGAAGTGGGCTTATCGGTCATTTTCATACTGATTTTGTTCAATAATAATGCAATAATAATAATGCAATAATAATGCAATAATAATTCAATAATAGTGCTCAACATTGTTTGACTATTTCGAATGATGCGTTTGCTTTCAAGCTTATAAAGCCAATTTGGATTAAATTCACTACTCATGTATGAACACGTGGCACATATGTACGCTTACTCATATTCCTTTTAAAATTTGTGAGAAAAACACTCTGAAAATAAATGATCAAATACGAATAAAGGAAGCCTCTTATTTTGTCTCACCGAGGCCCATATAGGCGCACCGGGTGGCTGCTAAAGTAATACTTGTCTCTGTTACTCATTTCATGGATGCTTATATACTTATATGCACTTTAAGTTAGCGTATTATGAGGACTCACAATAATTACGGGCACTGAAGCGAACAAACATCACCTCACTTGGGTATGTTTTTCCATGAAAATCTGGCCGTCCGCCAGGGCGCCGCTAAAACCAGTTGCATTTTTCGGATAGCTCTTTTACCCGGCGCTACTAAACATAATTAAGTAGCGTATATGTATAGCTACTTTTGTCGATGAGCCACTGCTTCTATCTGTGTTCAGGAGTATACTCACGGCTAAAATCGAAACAGGAATAAGTGTGGCGTGAGCTGGATTGGCTTTGGCAAAGTTTGACGGTTATACTGTATTATCGATGTGGGCCGTCCAAATCAGTGTGCTAGTCGCACATACAAGTGAGTTGTGCAAACGCTAAATGACTTATACCTTGCTAACAGACCCTGGTGCAGTGGTCCGGGATAGACTAGTTAGTTATCAGTAGATAATGAAGGTATTGAGGCGTATATCTGTTGATATCATCGGTTGATGATCTTCTTGAATAGTCCTCTCTGATCTTTACACTCTTTTTCGACACCGACGAGCCGTGTGATTAGATCTGTTGCGGCTGGTTATTAATCCAGATTGTCATTCACAAAACGCACACGTTCGTTCCGCTCTACTTGTCTTTCCTAGTTAGAAAAGATCATATAGTTATAAAGGCTTTGAGCATAGTATGAGCTCACCGGGCGTATCACCAAAAGATTTGAAGCATTTTGCGGGGGGGGGGTTATTAAAAGTGAGAGGGAGTGTTTCTCATCTGTTTCAAATATCCCTAGAATTAAATCCATATCGGACTTGCTTTACAACACGGGACCGAAACGGTACTGTGGGGTGGCGGGGGGGGGGGGGGGGGGGGGGGTGATTAAAAGTGAGAGGGAGTGTTTCTCATCTGTTTAAAATATCTCTAGAATTAAATCCATATCGGACTTGCTTTACAACACGGTCGAAAACTTCTTCGATATATATTAGCTGCCAATCCACCTTTTCGTGGCAGGAAAACGAACTTCCGTGCTTTTAAGTTGGAGGATGAACGGCCAAACCCAGTACCGAACTATGTGTTACCTGGGCAGCAGCCATTACCCAACACGACCAGCCCACCAGACCTCTGATCGATTCGTGGTAATGCTGTCGTGGTAAGGTTTTCATATACATCATTTTTTGGGTTCTGGTTGTAATTTTTCGGGCCGTAACAGTTCTAAAAACTGCATTTTGCAGTCAAAATATACTTTTACTCTTTTTTTCAAGGAGTAGATGCACCACATGAATAAAATTTTATTAAGTAAACTCACCTAACTGAATACAGCAATCCAGAAGTAGCATTGGTGGCCTCCAGGAAAACGTCTAGGTGCAGAAAGCACCAATAAGTACACCGCTCATAAATAGTGATGGTTCACTCAGCGCCTAGAGACGTGTGCCTTTAAAGCTTGTCATATTTGTTCATCCGAATGACCATTAAAAGTGCTGGTATTATCTCCTAGAAAAGATGATACCGTCATTTCTTCGTAGGGATCAAAACTATCGCACCATGCAAACAGGAAAACATATTACCACTTAGATTCCTAATTTCACCTATTAATCGTTTTTTTTTCGTATAAACTTCTTGAAGGACATACTTTCCGTGTTTCCGTTGGTCAAGTTTTATTTGTATTGTCAAGTTGGAACATCTACTTTAGTGGCACAATAAATCGAAAGCAATCAGTTAGACCGAAAATATTCATTTTAGCCTAAAACTGAGCTAAATTAGATGATAACCCAATGACTACGATTTGGCAACGGGATCAAACTATTTCTGTACAACGAACATTGGAGTCAACAGGTCGGCTTATTGTGATTAATAGCTGTATGACGGTAGAGTGACAGGTCATATGCTTGGTGCTACAATGCATCGGAACACTTATAAAGTATTTTGAGAAGTTTGTATTTTGTGTGATTGGTGTTCTAAATGGATGAAATGTTTCGGTGGGTATGGTATAATATTCCTGCTTTCGGAATAATTTGGGCCAGGGCACAAAATTTCACAACCATAGGTTAAATATCTGCACCCGCTTGTGAATGGTTCGAGGTATTAACTGAAACAAACATAATATTGATCTAACTGAATATACGCACACCCAAGTGGCTACTGGCTGTTCCTGTGGTAGTGGAAGAAGTGAGGATTTCAATTGAAATTGCAAGCAATTTCATGTGGTGCGCCAGACAGAAGAAAAACACACGTGCAGAGTCATGCATCCCCAAGGTCACCATTGGGACGACGCGTCCGGAAATTAGGTGAGTCGGCGGCTCGCACCAAACACGGCTTAGCAACACACGACCAGCGTAGTGGGCCTGAGATCGTTCATGACCGGAACACCACCATGGGCTGTACGGAACGAACAAGTGAACCACCATATTTGGCCAATTAGTCATCCTATATATTTACGCAGATGCTCTGTAGGTTTTGTCCTGGCAATAGAGCCGTGTTCCCAGTTCTTTGTCTTCTCCCTATCGCGTAGTCTGGCAGGCTCATTGCAGGCGTAATCAATAGCTCGGCCACCGCACAACACAATAGCGACTCTTATCTGTTGCATGTGACTGGGCTTAATGAGATCGGCGAGGATTCCAATCATAAACGAATCATGTACAGCCATATTAGGTCGTTCTTATTCGTTTATGTTCAATCTACACGTCATTTTTAGGGTTATTTGTAAATGAGAAATAAACCTACGCCATTTGCGAGCTTCGCGGACTCAGCGCAACCTGAAACTCATCATGTGAACTTTGGACTGCACATCTGATTGGTTAGCCATAATAAGTACAAGATATCCCATATGGCTGGGAATTTCACAAGCCAAACGTCTTTTTATATATCAAAATTTCACTTCGGTTATGAAGGTTTCATTGTACTGTACAGCAATGTGAGCTGACTGACTGAGGACTAGTTTTCTTGAC